GTGGGGGAACTTGCACAATCGGTGGCTGACTAAATACTTTTTTGCCCCACTGTAATCTATGTAGCTCAAGTAACAGTGATATAGCTGTTTGGTTAACTTTAATGTGACAACTGAATTTAATACAATACTGAATTACACATAAATGTAATATGATTACAATAAGATCCAACATACATTACTTAATCACCAAATTGCCATACTGGATACTGCTCAGGAACTTAAAACATTAATGGTAATGACCCTATATGTCAAAAGGAAACCCAGAGAAGTATAAACAACATGATAAAGACCAGGTAATCTTGCCAAAATCTGCAGTACTTGTTTTGTTTTTTATTTTGCTTGTAAATTCCAGAAAACATTGTAAAACTCTTCGTCGTCTGTCCTTCTTCAGATGGATGAAAACAACCCTCTGTCCTTGTCTGGGAACTACACGACCATGCCAACTGCATCAGTGTCCACCCAAAGGACCTTCAGATCAGGGAGAGGTATCACTCACACCCAACTAGAAGTCACCACTGACACTACAACAGCAAAACAAATGAATGAGGAGGAATCTACTGTTGCAGAGGATGAGACCACAACTCTGAGCTGGACAGTGAAGGAGAACATAACAGAGGTCAGTCAGACCTCAGTCCAGCTTTCCCCATCCTCTGACAGACAAGAAATACAGCACACTGATCAGACTCATCCTCAGCCTAACATGGTGGAGCCACTGTCGGACCACAGAGGGAACTGTGAGTACATTTGAACACAGACACTCTCCTGAATCTTTCAGGTACTCGTCTTTTTTGGATTGACTAACTGTAATTATATCGCTTGATATAGATATGTTTAGTTCTTTGAAATGAGATCATGATCAACCAAATTTTCAATGAACATTTTCAGGTTAAACAGCTATTAAAATTTGAACTTGCTCTTTGATTTTCTAAAAGAGCTGTACGTGATACATACGTGAGTAAAAATAAGTTCCACATGTTAAGTGTTTTCCTGTTATAACCTTGTAATTAAGGCCCCTTCAACCCTAACACAAGAATACACTGTATCCAGAAAGTATTGCCAGTGCTTCACTTGTTCAACATTTTGTGATGTTATAGCCAAAATGGGATTGATTCATTTTAACCTCAAAGGTGACCTTGAGGGTCTTAAAGGTGCCTGTAAATAAAATTTATTATTATTACAGTGCATGTGAAAGAATATGTCAAAATGTGGGATAAGTGATGCACTCTAGATACTTTTGGATGTACTATAAAGAAATGGGGGTTTTTTTTGCCGAACAAAAGCGCACACAAATAATCTATATGGTCGAGTGGTGTTGAGTTATGTTAAGTGTAGATAAGCACTGGGTTACACAACTGGTTCATTCGTGGGAAGTCGGAGAGGGGTTTTGTTTTGTTTTTTTATTGTGTGGTTTTTGTTTTGTTTTTTTGTCCCTCATAGACTCAGAAATTCAACATTTTCCTGGTGGTGAGTATTGAACAAGAATGTCTTATTTATTTTCTGAAGTGTGGGTTCTCTTTTTATCTGGTTAAATTGCCATTGTACCTTATGCTGAACACACAGTCTGGTCATGAGCAGGATTTTAAAAATATTTTATAGATAGATTTACTCATTTATTAAAAAAAAAAAAGTCATTCCCTTCTCTCCCCTGCGGGTGGTTTATCCTTCAAGCTAGGGTCCTCTACCAGAGTCCTGCGAGCTTGAGGGTCCTGTGCAGTATCTTTGCTATTTATATGACTGCGCTGTTCTGAAAAGAGTTCTCAGATGTTATTCCTCGAATCTTAGCTTGGGAGTCACTGCACCAAGTGCACCGATTACCACTGGGACCACTGTTACCTTCATCCTCCAGATCTTCTTGAGCTTTTCTTTGAACCCTGGGTACCTTTCATGTTCCTTCTTCCTGATGTTGCTGTCATTTGGTATTGCTACATCTATAACTACGGTTATAGATGGTGGTTGGTGGTGGTCAGAGGGCCCGGTGGCGCCTATGTCCGGCAGCCTCGCCTCTGTCAGTACGCCCCAGGGCAGCTGTGGCTACAATGTAGCTTGCTAACGCCAGTGTGTGGATGTGTGTGTGAATGGGTGGATGACTGAATGTAGTGTAAAGTGCTTTGGGGTCCTATGGACTAGAAAAGCGCTATACAAATGCAGGCCATTTATCTTCCTCTGCTTGTCCACCACTACTATGCCCAGTTTGTTAGCCATCACCAGCTTTTTTTTATATATCTGGAAGTCCCACAGGATCTTGGCTCACTCCTTCTTGACCACCCTAGGGGCTTCTCCTATTTTGACCTTGGGACTTTCAGGCTGGCACAGATGTTCCTGTACGCTGGCCACTTGGTTGTGGCGCACCCTGCTGTTATGTGTTGGGGCATCTTTACTTAGGCTGCATCTGGGATCTTGCCCAGTGTGGTAGACCCCCACCTCTCTTGTACTTAGGGCTTGTTCCTGTGCTGCCTGGATTAGAGCCTGTGTGCTGTCTTTCACTCCAGCTTTGTCCAGCTTCTGGTAGGATTTCTGGATATCAGCCACTTCCTCTATCTATACCATACAGGGGCCCATCCTTCCATGATGCTTCTTCTCCTTGCTCCTCTTCTTTCTTTCTGCTGCCTGAGGTATTCACTAAGTACACAATTGGTTGTGGCCATTGGTTGTACTCATAGATGTTTGTGTACATTCTCACTGAAGGCATCGAAATTATGAATGAACACACATGTAATTTTGTAGTAGATAAAAGTAATGAAATGACTCATAACATGCTTTATACTTTAGTCTTCAAAATAGCCAACCTTTGCTTTGATTACTGCTTTGCACACTCTCGGATTTGGATCTTGAGCTTTATGAGGTTGTCACCTGAGCTGGTTTTCCAACAGTCTTGAAGGAGTTCCCAGAGATGCTGAACACTTGTTGGCCCTTTTGCCTTCACTCTGCGCTCAATCTCATCCCAAACCATCTTGACTTGGTTTTAGGTCAGGTGACACTGGAGGCCAGGACATCTGGCGCAGCACTCCATCACTGTCCTTCTTGGTCAAATAGCCCTTACACATCCTGGAGGTATGTTTGGGGTCATTGTCCTGTTGAAAAATACATGGTGGTCCAACTAAATGCAAACCGGATGAGATGGCAGGATGCTGTGGTAACCATGCTGGTTCTGTGTGCCTTTTAAATTTGAATAAATGTCCAACAATGTCCAATACTTGTGTTTGTTGGCACAAACAAATCTCTTCTGCTTGTTGTGATTTCTTAGCAGCTATTTGACCATAAAGGTCTGATTCACACAGTCTCCTCTGAACAGTTGATGTAGAGATGTGTCTGCTACTGGAACTCTGTGTGGCATTTATTTGGGCTTAGTCTGAGTCGCTGTTAACTTCAGATTTCTGAGGTTGGTGACTCGGATGAATATATCCTCAGCAGCAGAGTTGACTCTTGGTCTTTCTTTCCTGGAGCATCCTCATCCAGTTTCATCATAGTGCTTGATGGTTTTTGAGACTGCACTTGGCAACACAGTCAAAGTTTTAGCAATTTTCCAGACTGACTGACCTTCAGTTCTTAAAGTCATGATGGACTGTCATTTCTCTTTATTTAGTTGATTGGTTCTTGGCATAATATAATTTCTAGCAGTTGTCAAATAGGGCTTTCAGCTTTGTACCAACCTGACTTCTGCACAACACAACTGATCATCCCAACTCCATTAAGAAGGTATGAAATTCCACAAATGAACCCTGACAGGTGACTACATCCTGAAGGTCATTGAGAGAAGGCCAAGGGATTGTAGTGCTGTCAAGAAAGCAAAGGGTGGCTACTTTCAGGAATCTAAAATATGAAGTATATTTAGAGTTTTTTTTTCTTTGCTACATACATCTTGCTACATATATTTGATGTCTACAGTGTAGAAAGTAGTAAAATTAAAGAAAAAAAACATTTAATGAGAAGGTGTGTCCAAACTTTGTGTATGCCTGTATGTCTAATCTGGAGATCAACTTTAATTTATTTTATCTGAGCTACCAGTGAAACTGTTATTATAATGACTTTATTTTGGTCTTCTGAAATCTCTCTGACAGATCACCTGTTTGAAGTGGCCATAGAGATCAACTTTAGTCAGGATTTGCTGAAGTCTTGGGACAACCTGGCCAGGTCACTGCTGCTTTCAGTAAAAGCTTTGGTGCGTGTGTGTGTACGTGCGTGTCATATGTAGCATGTGCATGGTTTTTTTTTTTGTAATAAATATAAAAAACAAAGCTTCATTGACGCATTAAGAAATGGTGATGGCCCAGACTAAACTTTGTACATGGCTTTTGTTTCTGTAGATCAGCAAACAGCTGGAGGCTCTGCATGCACAACTGTCGGTGTCTTCCAAAAGAATAAAAAGGTTTGTAGAAAACATCCTCACAAGTCTTTCCATTAATGCTGAAGTATAAGTTTGTCTTTGAATGAGACTGTCTTTTCTGAGTGAACCTATGCAGAAAAGAACTGCAACTCCACATGTAAATACCATTGGTCTAATCTTGCAAAACTGACCACGACTGGATGAAAGTATAGATGGGATCAGATGTAAAATGTAATTTGGACACTTGAGATGTTTCTTCTATTTCACTACAGTTTTGCTAATTTGTTTTGGTCAGTAGTTTTACAATTTTTATGCTCTTGTGCAGTGCTGTGTTGTGTTGATTCTGAAGTTGCTGAATTTGGGTTTCTGTTTAGGGTTTTACTTTTATTGTAGTGTTTGAAGTTTTAAATTGTATTATTTAAGTCCCTGTTTAGTTTCTTTGGAGTTCTGGGTACCTGTTTAGATTGCCTCATTGTTCTAATGTTAGTTTAGAAATTTTGGTTTGTATTAAACTTTGGCTCCAATTTTGATGTTCTTGTGTTTAACTTGATCAGTTTCCTTATTTTGGTCCTCCTCTGTCTTGTCTTTCTGTTTATGCTTTTGTCCCCTAGTTTTCGATTCTGTTTTCTTTAGTGCTCTGTGTAAGTTTTAGTTCCTGTCTCTGTCTTCCCATGATTGTTCTTATCTGTGTTAATTATGCTCAGTGTCTGCTATCGCAGTTTCATTATCTGATACCCTTTGTTCTGCTGTGGTTGTTGGAATTTTCATTTGCTTCACATTTTGGACATTTTGACTGTCACTGTGGGACTCCATGTCCAACTTGGCGAAAAAAGGGTGCCTTTTACTTTGTATCCAGCATATAGGACCAGACCTTTTCCCCAACTCTCTCATTCATTTTCCTCTTTTGCTACCATACTAAAAACAAATCCTGGAAACTCCACTTGAGAACTGTGGACTGGTGTATTTATTACATTAAACCTCCCTCTGCAGCGCCTGAACTTATGTCATTGTGTAGTCTGTTTAGACTCAATAATGAAACGGGATCTATGGACCATAAAGCTGCTTTACTGTTAAGGTATATGTTACGGTACATAATTACAGGTTTTGTGCACAGGTTGCATGCAGGAGTGCTGTACATCCTCTGGCTGCAAGTTAGACAGGGACCTAGAGGCATGCATGTCCACAGGGGCATCCACTCTGCTCTCCAGGGGCTCATTGAAGTTGATGCCAGTGGCAAAGGAAATCTGAGAAAGGCAATCATTATGTCTGTGTCGACTGCAGGTATGGAAGTGTCCAAAATTGCTTGGTAATGTTACTCTGGACAAATCTGTAAACAGGAAGGAGTCAAAAACAGTGATTACTGATAAATATATATTTGATTACACTTTTTTTTTTTTTTACATAGTTTATTTTAATGTGTTTAGTATTATATGCATTTATCAGCTAAAAGTTCTGTGCATGTCTGTTTCAGATGTTAATGAGTGTGGGACCCAGCTTGTTCAATGTGACTTCAATGCAGACTGTGTGAACCGGTTTGGCTCCTACTCATGCCATTGCCGGGCAGGCTTTCAGGATAACTCCCGCCTGGGATCAGGAGGAACCATCTGTGTGGACATGAAGGCTGCAGGTATGCTTGACCCATATCAGAAATCTTAGTTAGACTTGCAGATATTCTGCTTTAATTCAGCTGCTGATCTCCTGTTTTGTTTGGCGGGGTTTTCGTTTTCCCTTCAGGTTGCAGCTCACGCCTGTCCACTGAAGCTAAAGGTGTATACATCCTTTTCTTCCTGCTCAGCTCACTAATTCTTGCGCTGCTGGTGGTTGCTGGCATGTTCTACCATCGTCACCACCGAGGAAAATTCCTAGTTCGCTGCCACAGCAACAGCAGCTTATCCCCTTCTGACCCCAACAACAACCATCAGCATCCTGAGGAAAACTACTCCAATCCCGCTGACTCTGACCCGCCTCCCCCATCTCCACCTGCCTGGGGTCCCAGAGAGTGCTGGGGCCATGTAAAGGAGCAACGGCAAGTTGTGGATCTGCAGCTGCTGCGCTTCAATCTGCTGCACCCTCCAGACCGCTACATGGATCAGCAAGAGGGTGTGAACAGTCAATGATAATTAATCTTAATTATATTCAGTAAAATGTCTTCTTTAAATTTACTTTCTTTTTTTTTTGTCTGCATTTTGCACTATTTGTAAATTGCACAATTAAAGGCACAATGAAAAGCATTTTTATTCCTTGAAGTGCAAAACATGTCTTGAGAGAAGACTGTTGTAATAATATTAAATCTTATTTGAAAGTGCCTTCCAAGACACCAGGGCCCGTATCCCTAAAGAATCTTTGTGCAAAAAGTGGCTCCTAGCGGCCAAATTCTAAGAAAATTCTCAGAGTCATGACGTTTTCTTAGAATTTCCCCTAAAAGTGACACGACAATCCCAGTTAATATAAAAGCTATTCCTCAAGATTCCTAGCGCTTAAAAGGGCTCCTAAGGCGAGATCTGCTAAGAGCAGGGAAGAGGACTTTTAGTGGCTTAGGAGTTCCCCTAAGCAGCTGCACAAAATGGCCAACAGAAGAGGCAGGAGAGATGTCCTGCAAACACTGGATGACAGGGAATTATTGAGATGCTACAGAGTGGATCGTGCAGGAATCATGTTTGTGGTGGATCTCCTTAGAGATGCAATTACTTCACCAACTCGACGCCACAACGCTATTACACCGGAGACGAAAGTAATCACAACCCCGAGGTATTTGGCAACCGGGAAAATGCAACAATGCAGCAGTGATGACTTGGGTCTGCAATCACAGACATTGCTAAAAGCTGAGCCGTGTTACCCTCGTTAAGACCACACTGGACTTGTAACGTTGTGATTTCTACTTCATTAAGGACAGCCTCTTGAGATAGGCCATCTTGTTTTCAACGGGGTCCATATGGGAGTGAAAGTACAAAATATGCCAGCTAGGATATTAATATGAGCAAATAAGACACGAATCATTATTTGAACAGGGTGTAATGAGTTTTTCACATATTTTAGATTCTAATGTTAGGCTATAACCCCTACAGCTTACTATTCATTTTCCAGATATTTTCTTGAATGTGAAATATTATTTACAATTACAGTCAGCATAAGATTAGAGTATATAATATGTTTATTGATTTGAGGGTACATCCTTTGCTCATTATCACCAAAAGCTCATTTCCATCAAACTTGTAGGATCAACCAATCACGGCTTTTGAAATGATGACTCATACCTAGCAACGGGGTCAACCACACCTCCTCACTAAGATAGGATTTTCCATCCATTCCTTGCTCAGAGTTCACTGAAAATGTTCTGGAATCACTTCTAAGCTAAAACTCCTGGCAAGGAATTTTTAGGTTAAGTTAGGAGCTCTCTGAGAGGATTCTCAGAATCTTTAGGGATACGGGCCAAACCTAACATATAAAAAAACTTCGCCCACCCCAAGGTGGGGTGCCGTGCCTCTCGGCCTGGGGCTCGGTCACTCAGGCACAGCTGGCTGCCGGCGGAGCTCACGGGCGACGTCACTGCAACTCCCCCTGGCTTCTGCTCCGCGGCTGCTGAGTGAGCCCTCATCTGGGACTCTCCTCAGCTCTTTCTGGGACAGTGGCGCAGCTGCCCCTCTGTTGGTCTTCCTTGGTCTCTTGTGTTCTGGGGGCCTCTGGATGTCTGGAGTTTTGATCTCCTCCATACCTGCTTCATGCCCTGGAGGACGGGGCTGTGGCCCCCCCACACCCTCTAGCAGATCATTACATGAAGGAACCTTTTAAAAAACAAGCGCGTCCATGCTCACAGGTGTACACACGGGTGATCACACCCACAAACTACACCCTTTTTGGCTCCTACCTCAAAGCACACTGTGTTCTGTTGATCTTATGTGCTGCACAATAATGTTTAATATTTAGTATTTACTGTCATATTCCCATATATCATTGTGATGTTGTTTATTCTATTACTCTTGTTCTCTTCTGCTTGTTTCTTATTATGTTCTGCTTTGTTTTTTTTTTTTTGCTTGTTTTCTCTTTTTTCTTTCTCAACAGGTGATCCAGGTGATTGATATTTGTATTTTTTGTCTGTTTGTTTTGTTTGTTTTTGTTTTTTGCCCTTTAGCACCATTCCTCTTCCCCGCTGTTTTTCTTTCCCTCTTTCTTTCTCCCTTTTCTTTCCCCCAGTCATGTCTGTCCCGTGTGTAGCAAGTGAAAATAAAATAAACAATAAAAGCAAAGGTGAATCAAGTAGACCAATACGGCAAGGCCGGGATAGTCCATTTGGTAAAGTAAATCTGTTGGGCATCTTTCTTTGCCTTTAGACAATAATTCTGATTTCAAAAGAGCCAAGTGGGGGGAGGAGAATAAAACACATATAACAATGACAACAAAGGAAAAATTAGAAAAAAGCACAAAATAAAACGATAAATCAAAGTCAAAAAATGTACCAGTCAATAGCGGCAGCCAGACGCACCAGCATTCACTCAAGCCAGAAGTATTCACGGCTTGAGTGAATGTGGGATTTACATGGAAAAAACACAAAATTTACGATACTAAAACTATAGATCAAAACAAATCGCCAATACAACTTTGATACATAAGATATTTGAGCTAACTTTTATAGTCTTGTGTCAGGTAGAAGATGCCTGCCTGGGACAGCTCATAGGGGAGCAGTAATATAACACATGTATAGTGTATGTGTCTTCTAGATCCTGTAGAAGTCCATCATTAAGTGTGTGAAGAGGGCTCTCCATTTACATCAACAAATTGGGGTCTATTAAATAAGATTCAAACTATTGCAGCAGTACCTTTAATGCCTTTTGAATGCTCTAATCACTGTTAAAAGCCATAAGATTCTTTGTAACTGTTACCAATGCTGTTTTTGTACTGTGATGAAATCTGAATCTTGAGTAAAATTCTTTAAATAAACATTCCTCTGCAGATGATCAGTTAGCTGTTTTGTAACTAGTCTTTTTTTAGAATTGTTGAGATAAAAGGAATGTCTGCATGCAGCCTGAGTCCACCAAAGCCTGGCAGCTTACCCGAACACTGTATGTCGCTCTTGGGACCCCAATGACATAGAACACCTGACCAACCTCCATCAATGGACACTCCCGCCACATATGTCCTGTCACCCACATCTCTAACACTTCTGCCTTAGCATTGGTGTGGCCCTCCGTGGGTCAGCGCTGGCAGGACCTGGTGAGGCAGATCTGGGAGAAAGGGGTTAGTGTCCTGTAGCTGCAGTGGCTGCTCTGCCAGGGCAGGGCCGTGGGGACCTGGAAATAGCCTCGTCCCACTAGCTGCCGGCTGCAACCCTCCACCTCCTCTGGCTGCGTGGCCGTCAGCATGACCTGACAGCCGCGCCTCTCTTTCCAACGGCACAGGTAGCCAGGTAGCCTGGCATGCCTCTGCCATTGCCTGTAATGTTTCAAGGAACACCTGAGGGTCGTAGCCTGCCCCCATCCTATGTGGCGTCACTGCCACTGTAGGGGGTAGGGGAGGTGCAGTGAGAGAGTCAGCCCGACCAGCCTCTCCAGCACTTGTTCTGGTGTCAGCCTGGTCCTGCAGCTTATCCAACTGAGCTCTCTGCATCCCATTAAAAGAACATTGAAAGGACTGTAGGAATGCGTCTACCAATACCGTGCTGGTCAAGGACACTCCTACAGGACACATGCCGTACTGTGGTCGCAGCTTCAAGTCAGCCAGCCTGCATCATTGCATGTAAAGAGTGAAGTGTAGTCTGTTCTGGCCCACCCAGTCCAAACCACTTTAATAGGCTTACAGCAGCTAATCCAGCACAGTGTGCTGACACATTGGGAGTCTGCTGACCTTACTCTGCTTTATTACAGGGTACTTGTTCCCTCAGACCTTCACTGCTCAAAACAGGAAATCAGCTACAGTTTCTCTACATCTCCATTCAGGGGGAAATATTGGAATGATTTTCATCAGGTTTGCATAAGAAAATTATTCAATTTGAATGATGACAATGACGTCTAAGTTGATCTCATTTTTGCTCTAACACGTTAAAACTATCAGCTTTTTAAAAAAGAAAATCTTTCTGTTAAGGGGGGGGGGTAATTGTTGACTGATAATCAGCTTTAACTTACAGGCTTCGACTGCATCGGAAAGCTAGTTTTCAGGAAAATCTGCAATGCATTTGTCATCTAATGCAGTCCACAATTAAGTCAGCTTCCTTTTTACTTCATTGATGGTGTTAAGATTTTTTCTAGATTTTTTCCCACCATTTACTCAGATCCCTGCCTTCTGTTAAAAGAAAATCCTTCTTTGTCCTTCGACTGAATGCTCCTTATGTCTACCAGGTAGATTCTCCAAGGACAGCATCACTTGGTTGCTGTCTGTAAGGTAAGGAGGAGTGGTTGTTGTTGGTGGTAATAGTAGATCCACCCTCAGCTATCTTCCTCACTTGGAAACCTGAGGTCACTCCTCCTCTATCGCTCTCCAACCAGAGAGGCATGCTGAGCATGACCTTCCAGGCAGCATCCTCCAACCCTAATCCTGTGCAACCCTCCCACACATGCACAGAATCCCAACTGTTTTTCACTGCCCTAAAACAATAATAAAGTCCTACAGTAAAAAAGCGTCTCTAATTCCATTACCTTCCTGTATTGCATTTATTTCATTTTATTGTAGTTTATTTTCAATGTGTATCCTGTTTTTCTTTGTTTTGTCTTTGATTCTGAGAAAGCTATGTCACTGAAAACATTTCAGATGACTAAAGCATTAGTTAATTTTCTTGTGGGCAGTGAAGACTGGAATCCTTATGTTACTAGTTGACAACGTGATAAAGAAGGTATTAAGGTATTAAGGCGTTAGAAATTTAAAATGTTTCTAATTACATTTCTGAAATTCAACTTAATAGAAGAATAATGAAGGATTACTGTAATCATTTTTTTTATCATCTGGAAAGGAATTAAAACTCGTAATTGTATTAATTCGATTTGTCTATATTATTTATTTATATTGTTCACTAACCATATTTATGTTCTCAGATGTTTTAACACCTCCAGCACTTGAATGCTCTCAAGCGAACATGTCAAATTCACAGAAAATATTTTCATAGTAATGGCTATATTCATAAAGTGATATTGCTGTATTCATGGCCTACAATATTTCAATTTGAAAAGCTCTGTGATCTCTCTTCTTGATTCTCCATCAGATAAAAACATAATCACTTGACACAAGACAATACTCAACAGTGGCGTCTGTGACTTTTACAAACATTTAATATCTATCTATCTATCTATCATATCTATCTATCTATCTATCTATCTATATATCTATCTAT